CACTTAAGCATTTTTCTTTTACTGCGTGCGGTCGTTGCGCGTGCGCACAAAGGAATGAGACCGCTCGGACACCGAGCCCACAGCGTGGTAGGGGTGGGGTTGCCCGCTCTTTTGTTTTTTACTACTACTGCGCTGAATATTGTGTGCGGATTGGCTTGTCGTACAGGGGTACTACACGGTAAAATAAATCTCGGAGGCGAAAGCAGGATAATTATACTCAAACAGTACAATTTTAAAATATTTTATACTGTTGACATTACGACACTGATTAGAGCCTTATAATACAGACATAATGTTCAAAATCCAGTGATGAAATTATATTTTTTTATAATAATATAGTGACAATATCAGAAAAACTGGTAAAAGTCAGCAACTCATGATTTTTTCGTACATATTTTGTCAGTCTTTAACTCCTATACCCTATTGATGTCGATCGGAAGTCTTTTGGTGGGGTAAAATTAGGTCATAGCGTCTGGTCTGTGAGCACGTAGAATTTTGTCCAATGACCCCAAGCTACCCATCCTTATCGCTCGCGCGTAATTATGTTGCTATCGCGCTCGCACACTCTCTGCGGGCGCCCGTCGCGCAGTCGCGACAGCAATATAATTACGCGCGAGCGATAAGGATGGGTAGCTAGGGGTCATTGGACAAAATTCTACGTGCTCACAGACCGGGCTTTTAGTCATAGCAGACTTATCAACTCGGAAAGGGATCAATACCGTAGCGCCTTTCGCGCGCTGTCAACCGCGAAGCGAGGCGTTTACGTTGCGGTGCGGATAAGTGTGCGTTGCAGTATGGAGTTTCATACAAAGAATACTGACCGCCTCGAGTTGATACCGTTACGATCCCTTTCCGGGTTGATAAGTGTGCTACGTCCTTTATAATGAAACTACTGATACCCATTTAATCGATTTCGTTTTTTTACCATCTCCTTTTGACATTTTTAAAAGAAGTTTTTTCAACAGGTGAAAAACACTTCAGCTGTGAATGTAGCTAAGATCGGTAATATTTTTTTATGTTATTTTTGTTAATTAATGCATTTTCCGAGTGTGCAGTTTCTTTTGAATGTATACTCATAGAATTTGTTGTGTCTTCCAGTTTGTCATTCATAGATTTGTCTTCTCCATATAAACAGAGTAAATACAAATGAGTAGGTCATCTTCATAGAAACGCACGGGCGCGGTTTGTATGTGAGCGCGCCAACAAGTATGCGGCGCGCACGCGGGGAGCCAGTCGTGGTTGCGCCGAATTTTGTCAGTGTGTGCGTGCGCGCCGCATACGTATTGGCGCGCTCACATACAAACCGCGCTCGGTGCGTTTCTATGAAAATGACCTACTCATTTGTATTTACTCTGATAATGATGAGCATGTGTATCTGTACCATAATATTAATCAGTTTTGCCATAACACTGCCTTTGACATTCCTACTGTTTTCCCATAAGTTGTTTCAGAAGCTGTATGAACTAGTATGAATGATCAAAATGTATTATAAAAAGCTGCAACTTAATTTAATGTGGTTTTCCTTAATTGTCTCACCAGTTGGCGCCATAAAACCTTACTCGACAGCGGCGCCAACTGGTAAGTGAAAATGCGATAGGCCTCCCTTTTCGCCAGTCACCAGTTAATGCGCCATACAAACCTTACAAAACAGTGGCGCCAATTAGTGAGTGCAAATGCGATATTCCTATTACATAGTTCTCACCAGTCCAGTTGGCGCCACACAAACCTTATTCGCCAGTGGCGCCAACTAGTGATAGTTCTCCACTTCAGCACTCATCAGTTGGCGCTACTATCTTAGCCACAAATAAGTGACAGGACCTTAATCGCCAGTGGCGCCAACTGAGATTTTGACTTGAGATTATTTTGTATTCCTACTTACTCTAAAATTCCAATGTGTTATTAGTGGTAGCGCATTTTCTTACATAACTTTTCAATTCCTATCATTGGAGGTCCGAAAATATTTCTCATACAATTTGATACCATAATGATCATTCTTCATAAAAAATTTAAAACCTACATATTTAAAAACATAATCATTGATATTCATAATATCACTAATCATACACTTCGTTTTTACTAATATTTGTTTTCATATATTTTTCTATACTAATGATCGAAACTCATAATCATTCGAATAAATAACTATAATATTCATAAATGTGATGTATCCTAATATTTGTTTTCATACATTTATTACTCATAAGTGTATCCATATTATTGAAAATCATGATGTTTATATTAGTATTAAATCGTATTTTAACATGAAATTAATTTGAAATGGTCCAAACAGGCAATATTTTGTGCCACAAAACTAACGTGACAGAAACGAATCGCTGCAAAACCGACTCCACGTAGTCTTGTCTGCCCTACCCCTAGAGTGTAATTTAAAAGCCGGAGGCGCGGAGGGAGGGCAGCCCTCGCCCGCTGTAACGAGGCTCAGGCGCCCGGGTGAGCTGGAGCGGCTGAGGCTGGTCGCCGAGGCGCCGAAGGCGCCGATGGCGATCCAAAAAGCCGAAGCTGCGGAAGCAAGCGTGGGTGCCTGAGCCTCGTTACGCAAGGGCGGAAGGGCTGCACATCCCGCAGCGCCGGAGACGAGGAGATACCAATGCATGCTGCATGCTTGCTTTCATGCTGCATGCTCTGCATGCTTATCTACTCTATTAAATTATATATGATTTTTTTAAAGATACGAGTATGTCTGTTATAAAGTAAATTATTCTGAACAACAACATTATGAGTTGAAGTATGTTCTTAGTAACAACATTATTAATTAAAACAATATGATCAATGAATGTTATGAAGAAAAAAGATCTGAAAATAAAAATTATGTATTTTAAATGGTTCTTGGCAGTAACAGTATTGATAAAAAAAATATGATTACTAACTGTTATGAGCTCCGATGGTAGTAATAAAAAAGTATGAATAAAAAAAGTATGAAAAATAAAATTATGAAGAGAGATTATTATGAACACAAATCGGTAGTAAGACAAAGAATAGGATTTAGAATTTTATGTGAGCCAATATAGAACCGTTATTAGTGAATCTTATAAATAAACTCGTTTTTATTAATGTTTAATAATTCAGAGGCAAACCAATACCAAATAAATTATTGTCAATTTTTTACTAACGTTATTTTTTTATCTCTAAACTATGAATAGTGTCTACTATAAACCTATCTAATCTAATAGCAAACCATGCAGAGCTAATTTTGGATCAATTTTTGTGTGTCTACACTAATATTATAAAGAGGAAAACTTTGTTTGTTTGTTTGGTTGTAATGAATAGGCTCAAAAACTACTGGACCGTTTTTAAAAATTCTTTCACCATTCGAAAGCTACATTATCCACGAGTAACATAGGCTAAATTTTATTTAAAAAGAATAGGGTTCCGTAAAATATGTAGATAATGTAGTTCACGCGCGCGAAGCCGCGGGCGGAAAGCTAGTTTGTAAATAAAATTCTTTACTAACAGTGTTTATGTCACCGATAAGTTTTCATGTGTGCGATATTTTTAACTATTTCTATAAACATAGAACAGGGGCGTATAGTTCCAAAATACTGAACTGTCCTACCCCTGACATTGACAGTGGGGCGCCACCGTCAATACCGGATCGCTGGTTCCGATTTTTGCCATGTCGGAAACCATAAATAGTTGAACGATGGTAGCGCCCCCCTGTCATTGAGTTTGGTGGGACAGTTCAGCGTGGGTCATCTATAGTGTGAGTTTATGTCAAACGCATTCGATGTCATGTCGACTGCGTAAAAAATGTCATTAAATGTATGACGGATTGTACAGCGCCCCTAGCGGATACTTTTAAGAACTAAAATCTTCATAGATTTTTTTGACGCACTCGATATCGAATATTTGATGTAAACTCACACTACGCTTCCATCAATCTGCGGTCATTCAAACGAACGCAACCCGCACCTGTAAGTTTAGAATATTTAGTTTATTCCCATTGTCCCCACCAGACTTTTTCTTGGGTGGAACTGGAAATATAATTCAATTGTTTTTTCTTATTTCCGTTATTTCCACCGGTGGGGACAGCGGGAATAAAAAGTATATTAAATTTTAATTATTTGATTAATTCCCGTTATTTCCACTGGTGGGGACAACGGGAATAAACCGAATATGGTTAGTTCAGTATCCTCACTGGTGGCGGATACAGCAACTCATTCGGAATGTCCACCGGGGGGACAGTGGGAAAGTAAAATAGATTAAGATGATAGCAGCGAGATTTTTAATGTTGTTGGTCTCTAAACATTATACTATTTTTAGTAAATTTTGCAATGTTTTGTAACCAAGCAATATCATGTAATATTTTAATATTGTTAATGCCATTTAATTTATAGATAATTATACTGTTGATATCTTTTGTACAAATAAAGAGGATATTTTATGGTATTATTTGTTTTATTTTTAGTAACCAATAAGTTCGTAATCTATTAAAATAATGAGTATCTCAAATAGGTACTTACATTATCTCAGACTTTATGTATGACTAGATACTAACTACAAATCTTTGCTAGGGGTATACTTAGTAGTTACTGTATAATCAATGTAAAAAGTGCTTATTCCCGTTGACCCCGCTGGTGGATTATTTTTTAATTCCCATTGTCCCCACCGGACTGAGGAGAGGGGACAATGGTAATTAAAAATATAATACATTGGATTGGAGCCACCAGTGGAGATAACGGGAATAAACCGCAAAAAGAGTTAACTTCACAAAAATCTTTATTTTTTGTATGCAAAATTAGGTAAGTATTCCTAATAACATGAAAATTAAAATAGCCAACTTTACGACATACCGCCTTCAATTAAATTTTAACTGCCATTTTGTTAACTCGATCCATGAGTATGTAATCAAAGAAATAGAAAATGTTCGTGACTTTCAGCACATTGTGTTTCATGGTAACATTGCATCAAAATAACTGCTACAGTGTACATTCGAAATTGCCAGAAGTGTACGGTGAAAACGTGTATTCTCATCTCAAATTCAAACATATAAATGCGATTTGTAACAACAGAATTGATATTTGTTCGTCGAATAACACGAAAATATGCGCTATAAGGGTAAAAGATAAAAAAGAAGAGTATAGAAACTTTAAGAATTCATGTTTTTTGTTTTTGAGCAACATGTGTGACAATCCTGGAGAAGGTAAGTACCTACTGTTGTATTTTAAATTTGATTTTAACAACGTCACGGGTGTGATAAGCATAGCTTTGCAAGATTTTGAAAAAATAATATGAGACATTAAATGCTCGTTATGGCAAGAAAGTAGCTAGTGTCGTCGACACTTTAGTGTGGGTTAGGGCTTAAATACCGGAATTCCGGAATTTCGTAACTCCGGAATTTCGGATAGATTTTTTCCGATATTTCAATTCCGGAACTGAAGTCAATATCGTATTCCGATATTGAAATTTTTCATAAATTATTTTAAGTTTCCAAAACGTTTAAGTATCAAAGTAGGTCCTTAGATAAGGAAGTCCTTGAGAAATGTATTCACAACTTTATTACTAATAATATTAAAGAGGCAATAGAGCGGAAACCAAAGTTCCAAAATGTTCGGTAGATACAACTCTATTGGGCGAAGCCAGCTGAAGACAGCTGATGGTAGTGTAAATTCAACAAAAGCTGAGGGTTCTGGGTGAGATCGAAAAGTTTTTATGGACAGCCATATTATACCTCGGTTACCAAACCTATTAATAGCTCAGCCACAGGACAGTTCCAAGAGCTAAGTTAACTCGACACTATATCGAATATATCCCGGACATCAGCCCATATGAGCCTAGGATGGCTCTCAAACAGCTAATGAACAAGGCACCGGGTGATGACGAAATAACCTCGGAGCTTCTGAACGTGGCGGGTGATAAACCGATACTGAAAGTCCTTCTGAGACTGTAACTCCGTCTTACTCCAGGGAATAATGCCAGAGGCACGGAACACAAAGGCTTGGTGGTGTTTTTCTTCAAGGGGTAAAAGCCTTATTAAGGAATTACATACCCTTCTGGTTTCTGATTCATGTCTACAAGCTGTTTTTGAGAGCCATCACGAATAGTCTCGCGCGTAGGTTCGATGACTTATAGCCTCTCGAAGAAGCTGGTTATCGAAAAGTTAACAGTACCCTAGACCGTATCTATACGTTACGGCAGGTTATACAGAAGACCGAAGAGGCTAACTTGTCAATATGCCTGGCGTTCTTAGACTATGAGAAGGTCTTTGAGTATGGCTGAGCACGAGGACGATTCCTCTGCAGCGAGCTGTGAGGCAGAGAGATGTAATAATACGTCGAATTCAACTCGGCTGGGTAGCGTTCAGGAAACTACATAACATCTTTTCGACCAAAAATAAAATAAATAAAATTTTAATAATAATAAAACACCTCAGTGCCTAAAGACGAAAGTCTACAATCAGTGTGTGTTACCAGTAGTGATGACAAGGGTTCGGAAAAGTGGCCTCTCACTATATGCCTCTTATAATAAGCTCAAAGTTGCACACCATGGTATAGAGAGTGCTATGCTCGGTGTTTCTTTTCGAGATCGAACCAGAAATGAGGAGATTCGTAAACGAACTAAAGNTCTGCGTAATAATGTGCCCTGTCTCTTGTACAGAAAAACTGAGCATAGCCCTCTTCAAAGCACGCTGTGCAACTTGAGTAAGAGGCCGCGTTCCCGAGCCGTCATCAGTGGCAACACATACAGATTGTAGATTTTTGTCTTTAGGCACTGAGATATTTTGAACGAAAGGATGTTGTGTAGTTTCCCGAATGCTACCCAGCCGAGTTGGATTCGACCTCTTTCTCTACTTAGCTGAAACGTTTGTCCGAGGTAGACATACTTGTCAACAATCTCAAGATTCGAGCTCCTAACCAACAAAAGCTTCGTTTTTCCATGTTGTTCACCCGAAGGCCTACCTTTTGGGAACCTTTACATGAACGTGATATAATGCTTAATTCAATACAACATACATCTGTTTCCGCAATTTATTACACCGATCTTGTCGCGACAAGGAAAAATTTCCGTGCTTTTAAGCGATTTTGTGAAAAATATTATTGGCAGGTAGTTGCTAATTGCTCATAAGATAGGCCCCCTTAATTTAATTTATTGTCCGTGGTGCATAATCTTTTCTTAAAGGTTTTAAACCTTTGTTTGTCACCTGTCATCCGCTTTGCAATGGAGGGAAGTCGAACCTTAATTTCGAACTCCTCCTATGTTCTTCTGATTAATTTCGTTGCGGGTCCAATGACAGTTTAACTTTCCCCCGGGACAAACTTGACCTTCATTGGTTGGGTTTTTGTGGCGGTCAAGCTGTAGATCCTGGCTACACAGGAGTTGCAGTGGTGGGAACGAGAGGTGGGAATAGTCCCGTTATTTACTTATAATTTAAAAGTAAATTAAAAACTGGAAGGGTATAAATTTATTTTGATTATCGGTTTTCAATTTATTACAATTCTGATGAAAGAAAATGAGTATGCTCAATACATAAAATGGGAGCGTAACAATTTTATTTATTTATAAAATATGCTGTTCCATTTCAGTAGCCCATAAATTGTATCACCAAGTATAAATTGTAGCCCATAAGTGTATGTTCACATACATCTTCGGATCTCAGTACTAAACTTCCAGGTTCGCACTAAAAGTCATCTCATTTGACTAAAAGTGCTTGAAAATTTCAGATTCCGTGAAAATTACGAAAAATATTATTTGTATTGAATTTTATTCAATTAACAAAGCTAAAAATATATAAATTATACCAAAACTGTTGAATTATTTTTTAACTTTTTTAACAACGTCCCGTACCAGGTGGGGTGTGTGACACCCACACGCACTTTAAAGGCATGTAACTCAGTTGGTAGACACCGCTGGACTGATTTTGCAGCGCTGATCGAAGCAGCAGCGCCATAATTCCAGCTACTGAGAATTTCAAATTCAGCACTTGCAAATTTTTAAAATTATGGCGATTTTTAAAGGCCTGGGGTGTGTCACACCCCACCTCGTACAGCGAGGGTTAAACAAGTGTACTTATTCAATGGAAATATTCGTTTTTGTAATACCTTGGTTGTGGCAAAACTAAATAAGTGACATGCAAAAACTAAATAACTGCAACTTAGTTGTAAAATACGGTTGTGGCAAAACTAAATAATTACATTTTAATTTTTTTTATTTAAAATAATACAAAATAACGTTATCGAAGAATATTGATTTAATAAAGGTAAATTTGCTGTATAAAATATCAAAAGACCGACAGTAAAATATTTTTACCCTTAAAAGTTATCGCCATTTTTAACGAAAAAAATCACAAAAACGTGAATATCTCGCAACTTTGGTTTTGTCAGTTATTTAATTCTGCCACGACGGTGACGATATTATAGCGATCGGATTAGCAAGCTAAAGTGATAATGGGCGCCCTGCCTAGTACGTAGAACAGACGGCCGATCGGTCAAGGTTCTGAAGTGGAGGCCACATACATGTACGTGTTTGTCGGAAGGCGCTTTCTTTTTTTGACCAATTCCGGAACTAGAACCGGAATTCCGGAGTTGAGTGCCCAATATCGGAAATCAGTTCCGGAATTGAAAACTATCCGATATTGCAAGCCCTAGTGTGGGTACTATCCGTTCGCTTTAAGTTTGCCGCTGGCGATATGACGTCACTCGAAGGGGAGCGTCTATAACTATAACCAACTATGACGAACTTTTTAACTTTTGACTTGGGTAGGTACTAAAAGCAATAATAAAACTAGATTTTTTTTTATTATCATACTATTTCTTAATAATACACAGTATAACAATTAACAATGTTATAAGACAGGGTAGATATTCTACTTAATAAAAACATTCTTACGTAGGTATTAAGACAACTCACCACTAGAAGATACTGACTAAATTAAAATAAAACTAAAATGAATTAACTCTAAAAAGAAATAAAAATAAACTAGCTAGTGCAAACTATTTCAAGTCTAAAACATCTCAATATTAACCGGCCAAATACTATAACCTTGTACAAGGACATTTAATTTGTATTTTTTTTCTCAAAACAATCAGAAGGCACTCGCTTCTCAACTACGCGTGAAACGAACGTAAAAAATTAAATTAAAAATACTTATAGTAACTTTTTAATAAGCTCTAATTAATAAAGATAGATCCCTTAAAATACGTTCTTTTATAACAGAAACGAAATGAAATGCGAATTTAGCACCTTTTGATGGTTATTCCGAATTCCCAGTTGCCCCCACAACGATTGCTCCCACTGAGGGTACCTGGGAATTTATTTACAAAAATTCCCAGTATCCCCAGCTTGTGAACACGGTATTTTAATTATTTAACGGCTAAAATTGCTACAATTTTTTGAACAAAGTATCGTCTGTTTATCTGAACGCGATAATAATAAACTAACTTTATTTCCATGGTTTTCATAATAATTATTAATCTATTTAGAGAAAGATAGGGAGACTGGTTTTTTTTTTGTAAAAGATCCCAGCTGTCCCCAGTGGGCGCATCACCGGTGGGGGCAACTGGGAATAACCACTTTTAATCAACGGAAACTTAAAAATAATCATACAGAAGTATTAATAAATGGTTTCCCAAACCTATTTAAAATTCAATTATAACAACTCACCAGCATTCTAAGAATCACACGATTTTTCTCTCACAACTTCACAAGTAACCCTTGTATAAAAGGCACATTGAATAACTTTAACAAACAGTTTTTTCGAAGCAGTTCCGTTGTACAATCCGGTCGAGTTAACTGCGCAACTGGCAGCCGTGACGTCACATCGACGCTCTGGTACGGACGGTTTATTTTTGCAAATAGGCTTTTAAAAGGCACTTTTACACGTCCCAGTATTAACCCTACCACTGCTTCGGGACAATAAATGGGCCAGTGCGTGCTGAGAAGAAGCAGCGCAAGAAATTCAGTCACTATTGTAAGCCTCCTTTTCAAGGGTTTACGGTCTTTAAAATATACAAATTATAGTCTAAGTATTGATGCGAGCTAGGTAGTTGATCATTCCAAACATTTTTATCTTTTATAATATAATCATCATCAACTTTATAGTAGTCCTTTTTCATTAAGGTGCTTTTAATAATAATATGTGCTTTAAATTTATGAATGGGCAATTCTTCAACAGTTTGTGGTAATTTATTGAAAAGTTTAATACACTTCCCCATTAATCCCCATAAATGAATTAACAATCTTATGCAGTCTGAAATTTCCAGCGAGGAGCGCACTTAGTTCGATCGGGTTGTAAATAAAGCTTTTTCGAAGCATTTTAGTTGTACAGCCGACAACACAACAAGAACAAGATAAACACTCGCTTCTTATGACGTTGTCCTAGGTGCGACTTTGCAATACAAATGACATGGTCTGACGCTGCTGACTGTACTAAAAACTGAACTAACACTAATTTCCTGTTATTATGAACTCTCAAAATAGTTATAATATCATTTGTATTTAACAAAATAATGGCGTCGTGTTTCGCAATAACTTTGTATTTCAACAATACAATATTTTTACACTAAATTCTGGTCCTTCGTGCCGGATGGTGTCGTTATCATACTTTATTAATTGCCAGGGTGAATTGGAGCAGGCTATAAGAAGTTATTAGAAATAATAACACAAATTTTTATTTTAAAGTGCACTGCATGCTCCAGCTAGTAACGATAATTGTTATAATAACCATAATCATCATCAGAGCTGGAGCTAGTATCGGATTCGTAGTATTCTTCCTCCGATTCTGATTCTTCGGAACTGTAGCAGTTGTTTAACTCGGCTTCCCAGCTGACGAATTCAAAATTATTTAATATTATTACTTAGAATTAAAAATCAGGTTTGTTTTAGGCTAGCTTTAGTTAGAAAAAAAATTGCCGAATGGAACCACGTAGAAAGTATCTGTTTCAAACATAAAAACACTAAGATATCTATTAAATAAAAACACAAAGATTTTCAAAATCAGACTGAAAAAAAGTGAATAAAGAAAGAATCTCCTTTTTTAAGTCTGTTAAAACTGTTGCCAGCTGTAACCCGGCAAGCAAAAGGTCGTGGGTTCGATCGATTTCTAGTTTTCATAATCATTTCAGCCACAGGACATCCTCTGCTGAACATAGGCCTCCCCCAATTAATTCAAGTTTAAAAAAATATTATTTACCTGTCGGCGACCAGCCTATACAGCTGCATAGTCGTTTGCGCATCTTCCATGCACGAATGGCGGCCATTTCTTCTCAATGTTTTGTTGAGGAATCGCTGAGCCAAGAAGGCTAGGCTTGGCGTTTTACCGTTGTTGGCCTGAAATGTCGAAAAAATGAGTTAGGTTCGTTTTGTTTGCTAAAATTATTTTAAGTTAGGGCATTGCCAATTGCCTCTCATCATGCCCGCCTAGATACGGCCCTCAGGCCCTCGGGCCTTGGTATACTATTGGCCGACCAAAGGTCTAGTTAGCAGGAATTTTATTTTATTTATTTTATTGTTGTTCGGAAAACATAATAATATAGTGAATCAATAAAGACAAATAACAACTCCTTAAGAAACTATACACCATTCACATGTTTTCGCATATTATGTGTAACAATAATTAAACAACAAAAGCCAATTCGCTTACAGAGGGTTGAGTGTGAGTTTATAGTTCCAAAATACTGAACTGTCCTGTCCATGACATTGACAGCGGGGCGCCACCGTCTATACCGGATCGCTGGTTCCGATTTTTGCCATGTTGGAAACCATATAGTTGAACGATGGTAGCGCCCCCCTGTCATTGAGTTTGGTGGGACAGTTCAGCGTGGGTCATCTATACATCAAAGTACGTCATCACTAGTGAGCGCGTAAAAAAATGTCATTAAATGTATGGCAGATTGTACAGCGCCCCTAGCGGAAACTTTCAAGAACTAAAATTTATTAAGATCTATAAATAAAATAAAAAAAAAATAAAAAAGCCTTTTATTTCTTACTATACACAAAATTAACAATAAAACTAATAAACATGCTAATAAAACTAATAAACATGCTAATAATTAACATACTAATATTTAGAAGTTACTTTATTATTGAGCAAAAAAAAGAAGTAAGAACCCCCCGTTAGTTGGAGGTGAAGGCCTCCTCTAGAGAATGCCAAGTGTCCCTGTCGCCTGCCACGTTCATCCATTGCTCGCCAGCCACTTGCACTATGTCGTTAGCCCATCGCGTAGTTGGTCTTCCTCTCTTTCTTGTACCCGATGGACCCAGCCAAGAAGTTAATCGCTTAGTCCAACGATTATCTGTCAGACGAGCTATGTGGCCGGCCCAGCGCCACTTCAGTTTCTTGCTATAACATAGCGCATCTGTGACTTTTGTCTTTTTCCTAATATCTTGGTGTGGTATTTTTTGGATTTTTTTAACTTAAGATCTATACCTACACTAAACAGCTGATGAACCCTCGAACAAAGATTTTAGACAACGTGTCCCAAGAGATTTCAAAATCAAAATCAGAAATATTTATTCAGTTTAGACCACAAGTATCACTTATGAACGTCAAAATGTAAATAATAAAAAAAGAAAAGGTAGCCTTTATGGGGCACTTTATATGTCTCTTTATCTTTTGGGCCCTACCAGCGCTTCGAGACAAACATTTATGGTAAGTGCTGAGAAGAAACGCCGGAACAAACTCATATCGATTTAAAAACTTACTTGCGTGAACTGCCAATATTTCGAAGTGTCTCTTATGTCCTCTTGCCTCACGACGATCCCCAACCCTCTCAAGTCGTGATGGATGGCGTGTCCAACCACTATGGCGTCTCTAATCCAGTCCAGTACTTCATTCTTCACGTCGTTGAAGTTCCTCCCTGTAAATAATATACAGTTCAAATTCAAATAGTTTATTCAGTACATAGGTCCTTTCTAGGGCACTTATACACGTCCCAAATATAGCTTGCCCTACCACCACTTCGGGACAACATAGACTGGTGCTGAGAATAAGTGGCGGAAAAAAACTCAGTCATATTTGTCAGTGATTTGATAGATGGCGAAGCGTGCCTTACACGATCCCTGTATCATTTGCTGGTCCTCATGTCGCTTCTCCTCCGGCCGCTGGGGACAACGGGAATAAAAAGTTATTAAACTCCCACCAGTGGGGCCAATGGGAATAAACCATTTGTTGGGGGACAAACGGTCCCCTGTAGAACGGGAGTTCCGGATCCTCGGTGGTAGGGTAGCTACATCCCTGGTGGGGAGTGAGTAGTGCACGCACGCCAATGTCGTCAATAGCAACCATTAATATTTTTAAGGTGAATAACATCATTAAGTATCGCCATTCACAAGCGAGCGAGACTGGGACATTTTTGGAAATAAATTCCCATAGGCCCCCCCGTGGGGCAATATGGTGGGACCAACTCGGAATACCTGTCCTGCTGCCCCGCTCGATCCGGTGTGTCCCAGTAGCCTCCCCTGGCTTCGCCTTCTCGGGTGGCACTGGTAACCCGCCGTAGCGAGAGGACAGCAGGGCAGTTATTCCCATTGGCCCCACTATAAATTACCCAGGGGGGAAATGGGAATTTTTTTTTGGGCAACTGAAAAAGACCCGTACCTTTAGCCTGCAAAACCTGCGGCGTGAGGCCGCTGAACTCTGTCCGGTAGTCCGTGATGCCCTGCCGCCGAATGTACGCGTTGTAGTTCTTCCCAGAGTCCAGATCCACCATGGAGACCTGCGCTACAGCCCCCCAGTTTCCGGGGCCAAGCCCCACGGATTCTGTGTCTAAAGCCACGACTCGGCGGTTCGACATTTTACCTACAATTTATTCATCAACATCACTGAAAGCTCAGTTGCACAGCGTACTGTGCAGTGTTGCACAGAGTGTTTATTTTTATTCCCATTTGTCCCCACCAGTGGAGACAACGGTAATTTATTAATGTTTAATATATTTTTGTTCCCGTTGTCGCCACTCTGCCGGTGGGGACAATGGGAATAAACCCTTTGAAGAGGGCTATGTTCGGTTTTTTCTTTACGAGATCGAATCAAAAATGGATCCATAAACGAACTAAAGTTAGCCCGACGGTTATGCAAGCCAAAGTGGCATTTTCAGGGCAAAACTGTGGCAATGAACAGGGCATGAGTGGGTACGCAGAACTGATGGCCGACGGGGCTGCAAGGTTCTGGATTGGAGGCCACGTACCGTAAAGCGTAGGGGGTGGACCGACGACCTAAAGTTAGCAGGAAGGCGTCGGATGCAGGTCGCTGCCAACCGGGATAATATGGAAATCATTGGGAGAGGCCTATGTTCATGATCATCATTTTTGCCACAGGACGTCCGTTTGAAACTTATTATGCCTCATAAAATTATACAATAATTCATTAATGAAACGGATATACTGTATTATAATGAAAGAATTCGCAACAATAGCATCTCTGTTCTATAGAAACCTACCTAGCTACTTGTAATATGACTCTAAAATTTATTGCTTAGGTAGGTGCAAAGAATAAGATCATTCAACCTAAAAGTAGGTAAAAATAGATACCCAGGACCTCCTGGGTACTTACCAAAATGTATTACGGTGAACAAATTACACCAAGAAATAAAACGTTGAAGATTCCACAAAGAACTTCAAGAATTTAACTGGACATCCGCCAGTCACGACGAAGAAGGCCGAAGGTTGACTAAATAAAAACTTTTTGTTTGCAATCAAAAGTCAGTTGTATTTGTGTGTGTTGTTGTTGATACTCTTTGGTGTTCACGTGTGCGTGGTAGTGTCTGTACATAATACGGACTCGGTCAGTGAAACCACTCCGAACAAATTCCTTATAAAATTCGTTATCATTGTCAGGTGACAGATCAATGGTTTATATTGCAGAAGAAGCGACCCTCTCTAGTTTCTAATTAACCAGAGGTAAATGGACGATTCCCATGATGTCAAGATGAAAAAAAACTAAATAGTTCGTTCGTTTCAGCCAATTGACGTCCTCTGTTGGACTATAAGGCCTTCCCTTGGGAACTTTTCTGTCCCAACGGTCATCAGATCTGCTAAATAACCCCCTTACTAATAAAAAGTTACACAGTTGTTGAACACTGTTTTAAAATGACATTTCCATACTAAACGTCACTTTAAAACACTGTTCAACGAGCGTGTAAGTTTTATTAGTAAAGGGGGCTAGTACCTACTTAATTTCGACACCTTCAGGTTCAATTGTCGTATAAACCATTTTGGCCAAATTGAGTTATATATACCATTTTAATCAGAATGTTTTTCTCTATCGAGCTGTATATTCGATATATTGAAATTCGCTAAAAAAATGTTTATACGCCCCAAAAAACTATAGCCTAAAAGATAAATAAATTATAAACGATGTAAAAACCGAACGCTTGTTTTTGGTATTTTTGCTAAGATGTATCAACCATACATTTTTTTAAGCCAGGATGTAAAACTCTCTCGTAATTGAAAATGGTTTTTACGCCCAAAGACAACAATATGGCAAGATATTTGGATCCAACGTCGTAAGTCCACGTATTCAATATGGTAATTATCTGTTTCATATTCATATTCATTTATTTATTGCATCACATATGTATGTATGGACAGTAAGTAAGTTTTTCTTAATTATAAAGTTAAAGAAAGTTGATTGTTTCTACTTTTAAAGATAATAACTAGATAGGTAGGTATATAAGGTTGCTTTCCAGGTCCAGTACATCCGTGAATTGATCTCGACTAAATGTGATGAATTCAAGACTTTTAAACAAAGAAAACAAGCCATAGTGTGCTCATGAAGGCTATTTATTACTTTAAAAGTACTATTAGGGAGGATGACTAGGTAATGAAATCGAAATTCTATTTAGTCCGTCAGACAGATAATTAGAAAATATTAGACTCATATTTTTTTTCCATAATCGAATAATTACAGTGTTATATTGAGTTGAAATGTCGCGTGACATCACTTTTGAATAAAAATTCTACTCAAGCGTGACGTGTCGCGCCATTTCTACTCGATGTAGCACTGTTATTATTTAATTATGAAAGAAAATAAAAAATATGAGTCTAATANGACCGATTCGTTTCTGGAACTTGACTGAATGACTGGAGCGGGACTCTGGCTTCGCTCGCTCGGCTCGTGCGTTGTGGTCACAGTTCTAACCTAACCTAAACCAATAATTATGAATAGGACCGATTCGTTTCTGGAACTTGACTGAATGACTGGAGCGGGACTCAAGTATACGTGCTAATGCCAACAAACTTGAACTTTAATATATCGTTAAAGAAAGAAATCTAAACAAAAAAGATATGACTTTGAATAATAGTGTAAAATATGGTTATGTTTAGAAAATCTAGGAGAACAAATAAAAGTATAATAGATGTTTATTGCTAATGACATTATGAAGTTGAATGATTCGGAATTATGAACATTAGAGACAGAGTAGTTAGGAATTGTGATTGTTAGGATGAAAAATTTTAGGATGAACATTTTCGGACTTCCAATTTTCGGAGTTGAAAATTTAGGTGAACTTTGGCGCACCCGCGCGAGTCCGACTCGCACTTGGCCGGTTTTTTTATAGATTTCAATTTCGAAAATACCTAATTTTTTTCAATAACAATAAGTCCCGGCCCTAACAACTTAAAGGCAACCAAAGGGTCATAAAAATAAGCCTTGTTTTAATATGTCGCAGCAGTTTATGTCATAAAGTAATTTAAAAGAAAGTTTATGTGGCACTACCACGGTAATAATATCTATACAGTATTCCAACTCTGCCATATTTTTGAAATAAATGTCAACAGCCGCGCGGAACGTCACGGTATGACAAGATGCGATAGGGCTGCCCACTTGCAGGCCCTATTTTCATTACATCTGCCTACTTTGAATTTTTATCTAGTATTATGAATGTATTTTGTGATTGTAATTTTTATTTTATTTTGACTAACAAAATACTTTGTGAATGAAATAGGATAAAAATGCATGTTGTTTAGTGATTAGTAGATTTAATGAAAAGAATATAAATTTGTGTTAAGATTTAGTAACAAATCTTTATAAATTTACGACCTTAAAATTTATGCGTCTCGACTTAGGCGTATTATCGATTATTATACAGGGTGTTTAGGTAAATGGGTTTATAAGCCGACACTAGCCCTTGGTATATAAATGGTATGATGAAGTCAGAAAATTGATATCATTATTTTAATAATTTTAATTTTCATACAAATCTGATTTTATAAATTTTATTTTGTATGAAAATTATAAAAATAAATTATGATATCACTGACTTCACCATATAGGTATGTTAACATGGTCTAGTGTTGGCTTATAAACCCATTTACCTGACACCCTGTATAAATAGGTTCTTATAATTCTTTTATAAAAAAAGAGCGCTTACTGTTTAAAAAACAAAACATCGTCCGATTGCACATTCGCGACACCCCCGACTTTTGCATGTCGAGCGCATACCGAGATTTGAATTTCGAAGGAAAACTCGCGTTTCGTCCGTTTATATGAAGTTACAATACTGTATGATAATATTACCGTGGCACTACTGAACAGCGTATCCATTGTGCTTGACCAATATTTTTGTGAGTGTTGCAATATGGAAAATAAAATGGTAATAAATTATTAAGTTGCTTGACTTGCTTGGTGTAATAAATTCAGTATAATAAATTATAATTTATAGCATGGCCATAGTGCTCATGGTGCTTAGCCCTTTCGTTCGTATCGTATCGCATCGCAATATTTTTTTAATTTGGTTGACAGCACATTTACGACAGTGTTTTTTTGACAACGGAAACTTCGTGGCGGGAACGTGAACTTCTAATTTAAAAAAATTGTATTTACTCGAATAATATTAATGTTTAATCTAATAATGGTGGATTATTAACCAAATGTTCGTGAACGTGCATGAGTGAGTGAAGACAAAATGAAACAAATTTACTGCAACATCAGTTTTCAAGAAGTTCGCGTCAGGGTTCATAAAAGCCACATCTGTATTGAAACTCAAAACATATTTAGTTTTATACACACATAAATGACCTCATATTAATCACATTTATCAAATCATGCGGTAATTATTCATAATAACCGGCGATTATTCATAATTTTCACATTTATCACTTTGACCGTAACATTTACTAATGTACCTACTGAATAAAGTTTACTTCTACCTTTCATCTTTAATTATTTTTGTTGAAAAGCGCACATTACAACAAGACCTATGAATTTATTTTGTATATAATATCTTAATGTTAGTTTTAGGGTAGGTAGTAATATTAAACACTATGCTGGCAACTTAGTTGCACGCACACTTGCACACCAAAGGGGATTCCCCTCAATTACAAAGTTGTGATCTCATTCGACATTGTGATATTTTAAATAGATTGTTAAGCGACCGAGTTCAGTTGACATCGTTATTGTGAAATCACTTTAGTTGGTGCTGATATTGTAAATAGCCGCATAATCAGTTCTAGTCCTTTCTATTTTTTAGTATCTGGCCAACTGACATAAAAATATTTTTAGTCTGTGAACTAGTGATGCGACAAAACCTCTCGTTAATCGCGAAGTGAAATTATTGTAGTACTTGCGTATCATCGCCGGGTGATCGTCAAAATACTAAAAATATGCAACAAAGTCGCAACATTGAATGTGAACTGATTATGAAATTTTCGAGAACAGGAAACAAACTGTATGCACAGATGTAATCAAAAAACACACTGGACAGTAAAACAATCAATGATATCCGTAAAGTTATTAAACTTCTGTTGCTTGCTGTTGCTTGCTGCGTGATTGGTGGATTTTGACATATCTGTCAATGTCATGTCAAAAATAACCAATCATGCAGCATTTGGACCTCGCGTCTACGTATTGCCATCTGGCGGATTTTTCAATCGCGAAAACCCTCATTGAAAGAAGTTTTTTATTTTCTTAAAAATAAACAATGGAACAATACGTAAGCATAATTGCATAAAAAAGTAAAATAATTTCGTTTAAATAAAACCGACTAAAAATTAAACTGACTCCGAAAAAGTAAACACTAAAAGTAGAAAAATAAATTTACGTTATCTCCAATATTGTCGAAGTTATCGCTGGAAAACTAAACAAAGTATCGTATATTTTTTATTTAAAATTAATCAGTAATCGGAATAAGTGAATACTTAAAATAATATCGATTAAATTTACAGATTATTGTCTATGACTCACAGGTTACAGCACTGATGTGTCAGAGACAAGTCATAGACAATAGGGAGATAACACATGATTTTAAACGTCAAGTCAATTTGACAAGTCTCACAAATTTTCATCGTTCACGTATTTTGCTAAAATAATTTGTTTCAAAGATTGATTTCAAACTTGTATAAACGTGAAAATAAAGTTGGTTTCATGGGCTTGTTAAATAATGTGTATGATATTATGAACACGTAAGTGATTATGGTGTAATTGTGTATGAAAGTGTTTGTTTACATCTCTGCTGGATTCTAAAAAATCAAGGTATATACCTAGGTAATTTGCATTGTAGATTATTGTGATTGCTCAATACTCAGTTCTTTAACGTAAGACACCGAAGTATGGGCGAACGCACGGCGAAACTAACTAACGAAGTGCGTGTTTACACTACAATGTATTGTCTCGATTCTCGATTAATTTCCCGCTTAGTATTGCACCATGGTTGTGACCATGGCATTTTTAGTGTAGTGTAGTAGATAGAAGTAGGGAAGTAGAAGTAGCGTAGTGAGTGCAGGGATGTTATGGATATTCGTAACCGTAACCGAAACTTTCGGATATCCGAAATAAAAATATATCCGAAACCGTAACCGTTATCAATTCAAAAGTTTCGGAGGTAGGCAGTTTAAATTGTTTTTTGTACAGCATTAAGTATAATGTATTTAAAGGCATACAAGCCTGCCCCCTTAGACAAAACGCACTTTTTGATCGAATCGAAAATCGAATCCGTCAAATCTCCATACAAAAAAGGGGCTTTTCGACCACTTTTCGACTGGTTTGCGATTATAATTTGCACTTTGTATAAACCCACTGATTTACTTTTATAATGCCATCTGGTATCAATTTTTGTTTATTACTTTTCATTCGATGTTAAGTGTGCGGCCATGAATGAACCGTGTTAAACAACTATTGAAAATTGCATTCTAAAGCACAGATATCCGTAACCGTAACCGAAACCGGTATAATATTATTCCTATATCCGTAACCGTATCCATAACAGAAACTACATATCCATGACATCCCTAGTGCAGTGTGCCAAGCCCTAGCTAAGGTATATTATATCTGAAATAAAATAAACTGTTGATAATTTTTTTTTGAGCAGAGAAAGCCGCTCGATCGTGGGGCCCTAGGTAATCATTTCACGGTGCCCGCCCACTGTAATCCGGGGGCCCCGTTTCATTGATACGGCCCTGACTACGCCTATGGGAAGTACAACATAGTTTTGCCCGCGGCTTCATCCGCGTGATTTTCGGGCTGTCATAGAAATCCTATGCTTTTCAATGGATCTCAAACTTGTGTCTAGTGTAGGCAGGTCTCCAACTCGGTGGACCGACGATCTTTGCCGTTGCGGAAATCCTTACTTATAATCAGTGTTTCAGTGTTAGGTGGTTAGGTATCAGTTAATTAAACTTTCGCACACTAACTTTAATGAGGGTTTTCGCGTTTGAAAAATCCGCCAGATGGCAATAAGTAGACGCGAGGTCCAAATGCTGCATGATTGGTTATTTTTGACATATCTGTCAATGTCATGTCAAAAATAACCATTGGACCTCGCGGCTACGTATTGCCATCTGGCGGATTTTTCAAACGCGAAAACCTTCATTGTATTGAAACCAAAGTAACGGTTTAGGCTAAGTTTTTATACAGTATTTATTCTTAGTGGTGTAACTACATCATCCGAGGCCGGTGACAATTTTTTTCTTTTTATGGTGGGGCCCTTCTCAGTAAAAACCGTCACGTTATAATTTCTGAGCTCCGCCTCTTGGGCCGGGGCCTTCTCGGGTCGGGGGCCCGTGACATTTTGCTAGCCCTGCCACCCTATACTTAGTTAGGTATAGTTCCAAAATACTGAACTGTCCTGTGCATGACATTGACAGTGGGGCGCCACCGTCAATACCGGATCGCTGGTTCCGATTTTTGCCATGTTGGAAACCATATAGTTGAACGATGGTAGCGCCCCCCTGTCATTGAGTTTGGTGGGACAGTTCAGCATGTGTCATCTATACTTACGCTGCTTCCAGTTATTTTAGCGAAGTTGTTAAGGGGATGTCCATTAATTACGTGAGACGATTTTGGCTATTTTTCGACCCCCGCTCCCCCCTTAAATATTTCGTGATATTTGTCAAGAAGACCCCCCTCCTCCCCCTAAACGTCTCACGTACTTAATTAATAGACGCCCCATAATTAATGGTGTCCGATATTGTTTTTAGAGTACCACATCATAGAAGATGACACGTGCGAAGTTTACCTCGAAACTAGGCGCATTCGACGCAGAAACTCGAAATTGAATACTACATCTTCCCCTTCTAACGCCACAAAGAACGGTATGTACTGTACGGACGATCGCACAAGCTAACACTGCGGCATCTTAAACAGTTGTTTTATGAGCGAGTTTGCGACAAAAAAAATGTGCTGTTTATACTTGAGTTTGAGTCCAATGATGTGACCAGGGGATGTTATGGATATCCGTAACCGTAACCGAAACCGGTATAATAATTATTCCTATATCCGTAACCGTATCCATAACCGAAACCACATATCCATAACATCCCTAGTAGGGTTGAGGAGGTGGAGGTGGGAGGTTAACCATTATTTCCGGAGTCTCCCGGGCAATCCGGGAGGGTTGGGAACCCTAATCCCTAGACGTGACCAACTGACCAATAAAGCTTCGGCCAAACCAACGCTTGAGATCAGTGGCGGCGTAGATGTGTTGGCACGCGGGGCGATCCCTCCCCCCCCATCATAAGTCCATAATTTTAGCGCCCCCCGCAGAAACGTATCGCCTCGACTCGTATCATGACCGTCCTTGTCATGCAGATGCGCCAGTGAGTACTAATCTGCGCGACTGTTGTCACTCCCTGATGCTTGGCACCCGGGGCGGACCGCCCCGAAATGTAGGGATGGTTTATGATGGATGTATAGATGACGTCTTTATGTGATATCCATTAAAATAAATCTTTCTTTACTTCATTCCAGCGACATTCCCTACCCACACCTCGCCTACTCTCAACCTTCGCTCTGGCACCACCGTGAGCATCCTATATGACATCGACACGGCCTTTGACTACCACGTGTGCCCCCTGTCCTGCCCAGAGACATATTCCCCTGTCTGCGTGAGCGCGAACAGAGGCGCGGGCAAGTACTTCAAGCTGCTCACGTTCGTCAACCACTGCCAGGGGGACGTGTACTACTGCAAGCACTTCGACGGTAAAATAGACCTTGTGGCTGTAGTTTTAAGAGCTTTAGTCGCTTGATGTCAGATTTTAAGGCTCAGGATCAGGGGGGCTCCTCCGAAACGCTGTTACGTAGTTTCTGGTCTATCTGTCACTGTCGCTCATGCTGGCATCTGAGAGGGATGGCAACATTCGAAACTTCAGATCAGGATTTTCGGAGTAACCCCCCAGGGGGGCTACTCTGGAACAGTTTACCAGTTTCGGGTGTATCTGTCACAGTCGCTCATGCTGCCATCTCGCTATGCGTGAGAGGGATGGTAGCATTCGAAACTTTAGAATTCGATTCGGAGTAACTCCCCAGGGCGCAACGAGAGTGCAATATGGAGCAACTAAGGCTGGGTTGCACCACCCAACTTTGACCGTAACTTTGACGATAACCGGTGCTTTTTGTATGGATTTTGACAGATTTTTGACGTTTGTCAAAGTTAAAGTAAGATGGTGCAACCCAGCCTTAGTGTAATTCTCTACTAATTCTGTGGTGTAATTACAATTTTAGTTACAATTAGAGCTGTGGTTTTCTGAATAAAGTAAAATAAAATAAAATAAAAATACTGCGAGCACTCTCTGTGGGGCGCGGGGCCCTAGTCTATACCTTAGTTAGAAGTTATTAATACAGCCCTGGGGGCCCTGATATTTTAAATTGTTTGAACAGAATTCGCACCGCCGCCAGATGAGGAGGAAGAGAATGTGAACAGTTCTCCGCTCAGCTGGTCCTACTGCGGGGCTTACAGGTGAGCTTACAATTAGTTTTTTACCAAGACAAGACGTGTTATAACTATAGTCTAGTCCGTGAGCACGTAGAATTTTGTCCAATGACCCCTAGCTACCCATCCTTATCGCTCGCGTGTAATTATGTTGCTATCGCGCTCGCACACTCACTGCGGGCGCCCGTCGTCGCACAGACGCGACAGCAATATAATTACGCGCGAGCGATAAGGATGGGTAGCTTGGGGTCATTGGACGAAATTCTATCTGCTCGGCGACCGGACTTTAGTTGTTATTTAAAAGTTAAGCTATCTTCGAAGACCTACATCCTGGGGTGGGGACTAGACCATTCTAGGGTGGGCATGGTCCACCTGCCCCCTCTAAATACGCGTAACTGGTGGCCGAGGCCTAATAAGAAGAGGCAGGTGGTCATAATAAACTCCGTGTGGTGACGGCAGAGTAGAATACATTTGTCACCAACCACTACTCTTCCCGCGGGTGTCGTAGGAGGCGACTTAGGGACTACACATCAAACAGAGAACGGGCAGCAGCGATCTCTGATAAACATTAATCTTTTAAACTGCGATCTCCAACCCGCCTGCCAAGCGTGGGGATTATGGCAAAACCCTTCACTAAAGCACTAAAGTGGAGGAGGCTCATAGTCCTGCAGTGGGCTGTAAAGGGCTCTTGATTAGGTGGTCATAATACCCTCCTCCTGTGCCCATGACGTCGGCGACAGGCTATCGGTGCATCAGGTCGGGTGATACTTCCCGCTTGATAACTTCCAATATTTCAGGTACATGCAATTCGCTCGTTTCTCTGAGGTGCTTTCCTCCATGGGCCACTACGGCTGGCTGGCCGGCGACGAGCGCTACTCCGCCATCTTGGCACCTGAGCAGCGGCGCCCGGGGTACGGGTAGAGAACCCACTAAGTAATAAAAGTAATTTATTTTAAAAAAAACTTTTTTCTTTGATTTTAGTTTTGTGCGATTGGGTAACGTCAGATAATCTGCCATAGGCACCAGGGTTACGGGTAGAGAACCCACTAAGTAATAAAAGTAATTTATTTAAAAAAAAACTTTTTTCTTTGATTTTAGTTTTGTGCGATTGGGTGACGTAAGATACTCTACCATAGGCACCCGGGGTACGGGTAAAGAACCCACTAAGTAGGTACCAGTAATAAAGTAATTTAAGTATTTAAAAAAAAACTACTTTCATTTTGTTTAAAGAAAAAGAATAAGAATTATGGCCTTGAGCGATTGGGTGACGCGCTTTACTCCGCTATCTTGCGACCAGAGTTGCCTAGGGCATGGGTAAAACTAGATGAGAAGCTGTATGGGGCAAATTGGGTTTTGCCCCATGCATACAGGCGGGAGGTGGTACGACACAAAACACTAGATATTTACAAAACAACCTTTTTTATTTTACACGTGTTTTTTTAAAACATTAACAGAACTGTGGGCTGAGCTTAAGTTTACATCAAAGTTCTTCAAACATGAGCGCGTTAAAAAAATTTATGAAAATTTTAGTACTTGAACTTTTCCGCTTTACACAATCTGTCATACATTTTTAATGTCATTTTTTACGCGCTCACTACTGATCGCGTTTGATGTAAACTCACACTAGGCCCTCTGTATAATCAGCTAAATGCTTGTGTTACGAGTGGGTTCACCACAATAGTCCAGCGGCGCAACGGTATTGTAAACACTCATAATTATCTACTTATTTTAATTACCTACATAAAGGTACAACACTCGTTCTAGTTCACTCATCACTGTCCCAACAATCTCCTAGCCTCTCTCCTCCCAGTCTCAACCGCGCCATGCACTGTGCTATAATGGATAGGATTTGTTGCTTCCCCAGCGAATAGAACCCGGGGCTTTCCTGCCGAGTCGGTTAGCGGTGAGGCTAGAGAGGGACGGAGGGATGGGTGCGAGGGAGAGGTGAGACTGTCGAAGGAATAACTGCCGCGGGTGTACGGGTTGGAATACCAGGTTGATCTGAAATAAACAATGATAATTCTATAGCGTGATAACGGACAGAGATAAAAAAAACTAATTAAATTAAAAAAAAAACACCAAAATCGGTCCATTCATTTATGGGCCACGAATGCCATTCTTTTGCATCGGGGGTTATTACCTAAGACGTTGCAAAATAATCAAATATGTTATTTAAACAACTGCACTCAGGAGGACTTGATGAGTGCTACTGACAACGCCACTCTTGTGGAGGAGTTTTGGGCTGACACTGTGTAGGTTTGTTGTCGACACGAAAAGAAGAAGAACGATAAGTACCGATTTTTTTTAACGATAACACCGGTTTTATACGTAGCTCGTAGGTTATTTAACAATATTATAAATCCGTAAGTAATCGTTAGAATGCAAGAAATACCTCACAAATCCTACAGGTTTGGGAATAGTCCTGTTCGCGAACTTTTCCAACAGCTCCACGCTTTTGGCTTTCACCACTTCCTCTGACAGTGTCTCCATCTATAAAAAAGAAAGGTTTATTTATTTTGTAAATGAAAAAAGATTATTATTTTACAGTGCAGATGTACGGTGTATATGGGCAAGAAGTTTAAATAAATAATAAAAAATAGGTAATTGTTCATTATAAAAAATGAGAAAAAAATACTTACGTGCTTAGCGACTTCGCCGCAAGTCCACAGAGTTAATGCTCTTTCGCAACTCATAGGTGGGTTTGCCCCCAAAATCATTGTAGTCCATCTATGAAAGAAAAAAATTAGATTACAGGGAAGCGCGCGATAAAGTTTTTCTGTGTTAGACAAAATTCCACGCGGGCGAAGCCGCGGGCTTAAAGCTAGTTGGATACATAATATTGGAATCTTGGGGACAATCATAATAGTACATCTTAATTTTTTATATTAATCAGAGAGAGCGTTTAATTTACCAGCGGAAACCTGCGTTCTCAGTTTGCCCCATGATCCGGGGCAAGAAGGTAATACAATAATAATATAAGGCAATAAAATTCGGGACTATTCCCACCTCTCGTTCCCACCGCTGCAACTCCTGTGTAGCCAGGATCTACAGCTTGACCGCCACAAAAACCCAACCAATGAAGGTCAAGTTTGTCCCGGGGGAAAGTTAAACTGTCAATAAGATATAAGACCCACTTACTTGTCCTCTTCAGGAACTTTCTCCCTATCTTCCCCCTTCCAAACGAACCCCATGAAGGTGTCCTTAGGCCACCATGGCTCGGCGAACAAAAGGACTATCTTGTCGACCACCCCGAGGGGGATCCCGTTGATCGAGTCCACCTTATCTTGGGGAAGAGCCGGGGAGAAGAGGGAAGCGTGTCTGTAAATGAATAATTTGAATAATATAGGTACTTCATCATCAGGTCATTTCATTTTAGTCTGGGCTGAGTGTGAGTTTACATAAAACGTCCTCACTAGTGAGCGCGTTAAAAAAATACAGGGTGTCCTAAAAAGAATGGATAATTCTGTAACCATCGATAGGCCTCTCGCCATGGTCTCCCAAATTTTGACCCTAATAAAAATATCACCGTTTTCAAGATTTTTAAGTTTTTGTGCATTTTTAGAAAATTGCTACCTACCTGCGATTACTTTTTCTCATGCCATTTCTTCAAATGAGGATATTTTTCAATCTAAGTAGTATTTTTTTATCACAAGAAACACACACCTGACCAGTAATGTGGGGAGGGCTCATGGCTCCCCACACTACTGGTCAGGTGGGTAAGTAGGACCGGTTTACTTTAGATTTCTGTCGCTTGCTTTTAAAGGAAGAGGTACCTATTTCAGTGCTAGTACTGCTAGGAGTCTCAAATTTTGCATGGGCGGGGGTTCCTTTTAGAACTCACTGAGACGGGATTGTGCAAAATTTAACCCCTAAGGGGTTAACGCGGGATACGCGTATGAAGTCGCGTAAGTAATAATATAGTTACGTGACATACATATATGACATAATATGACCTACCTCTCCTTCAAGACCCCGACAGACACCGTAACAATGACGTTATCAGACGTGTATTCCGAGCCGTCCTTGCACCGGACCACGACTTTGGACTCGGAGTCCTGAGGCCACTGGATCGACGTCACTTCTTTGTTCAGTTCTATGGTCAACGAGGGCAGACCAGGACCGTTTTTGTATGTGTTCTGGGGAAGATGGACTGACTTTTAATTTACAGTTTAATAAACTAAAAAAATACGGTCTGTCTATTTGTTTTCACTGACGGTAGTTTGCGTACCAAACTTTGCAAGCATGTAGGTACGAATGGACCTATATTTTTGTAGACAAGTGAGTGAAATGAAATTTTTAAGACCATAGGTTTTAATATAGTGTCATGGAATAAATGGTCATCATTATTAAATTGTTTCAAACCCAATTGAGCTAACTGCGCACCTCGCTAGAATTCGACTCCCTCACACTCGCACCGCATCCGTACAGTACTAAATTTTAGTTCTTGAAAGCTTCCGCTAGGGACGCTGTACAATCCGTCATACATTTTTACGCGCTCACTAGTTTCTAGGACGTTTAACTTTGATATAAACTCAAACGCAGCCCTCAGAGCGTCGATGTGACGTCATGGTTGTCAGGTGCGCATTAACTCGACCTGGTTGTAGACTTCACCAGAGACTTACTTGTTTTAAAATCTTTATTTTAACCTAATAACAAAGTTACTTGCTAAAGCCCGGTCTCTGGGCACATAGAATTTTGTCCAATGACCCCAAGCTACCCATCCTTATCACTCGCGCGTAATTATGTTGCTGTTGCGCTCGCACATTCACTGCGGGCGCCCGTCGCAGTCGCGACAGCAATATAATTGCGCGCGTGCGATAAGGATGGGTAGCTTGGGGTCAATGGACAAAATTCTACGTGCTCAGCGACCAGACTATAGCTATCCCTTACCATCATTATCTCGAACAGCGTCTTATACCCATATACGTGCCAGCTCATCTCCTGGTTTCCACCAAGAGTCACGTACTGCGTATGGGTGGTCGAATCGTTCCAGTTGTTGGAACCAACATGGCTGTCGACGATCAGGTCTATGAAGACCAGGAGCTGCTGGATGAAGTCCTCGTCCGCGTAGAATGATGGGTAGCGCTCTTTTATGTAGGATTTTATCCTGGAAGGGCAGAGAGAATCGATTATTCCCTCCCAGTCTTCTCTAAGGCAGACAGCCTTATAAAATTGGGAAAAAAAAGTTACCAAATGTCCCCAGGGAACTTTGATACGAAGGACGGTGTTGAAGGGGTCTACGAGGAATCGAGTGAGTGATACTTCTTTCTTAAAAATTTACGTTGCATGCAACATTTAAAAGATTCCAATTTAATACAAAAACTCGGGAACTCTGAACATTATGGTCTTACTAGACCACAGGTGGTTAAACTACTTGAATATACCTTACCGTCTTGTCATAAAAGCTCCCAACGGCTCCGGGGTCGCAGGATCCTCTTCCATCAAAGGCATGGCGAAGTTCATGATGTCCTCCATAAACGCCGCGTCCACCTAAAACATAAATGTAAATACATAGACAGAACACACTTTATTGTAAGTATGCTAGACAAGAAAAAACGAGATAAAAATAAACAAAATAATATTTTTAAACCGGCAGACAGTGGTGACTGAGTTTGTTGCGGCGCTTCTTCTCATCATCATCATCATCATCATTTCAGCCACAGGACGTCCACTGCTGAACATAGGCCTCCCCCAAGCGCTTCTTCTCAGCACTTGCCAAATGTTTGTCTCGAAGAAAAGAATGAGACATAATATATGGGTACTTCTCATTTACACTCAAATTTGATGGTCACACAATAATAGTTCATAAACGGTATAAGTTAGAACAATAACTTTGAATTCAGGTGATAACATATCTATTTAGCTACATACAAAACAAATTTTATCGTAATAGAAGCAAAAATAATACGAAAACATCACATGAAACGATACAAAACGGGGTCATTTTTCGCGTTCTCATCGTGTCACACCTTCGGTTGCAATGAAACATTTGGTTACTGCATTCACAATTTTCATTCAATTTGTGTGTAACATATACTAAAATCATCGTAATTAAATATACTTTCCACACAATAGTCAAAAAAACTTTGAAATCAGATGATAAAATATCTATTTAGCTACATACAAAATAAATTTTATCGTAATAGAAGCAAAAATAATACGAAAAAATCACATGAAACGATAAAAAACGGGGTCATTTTTCGCGTTCTCATCGTGTCACACCTTCGGTTGCAATGAAACATTTGGTTACTGCATTCACAATTTTCATTCAATTTGTGTGTAGCATATACTAAAATCATCGTAATTAAATATACTTTCCACACAATAGTCAAAAAGATATCTTCTTATAATGGGGATGTTGCCTGGGTCAAAAAGCAAGAGTTTTAATTAGTCCGTCAGTTAACTTATCAAAAAATACACTACACGTATTTTTCACTTTTTCAAACTAATGAAAATTTAAAGAGATAAAGCGCCCCAAAGTTCATAAGAAGAGGCCCGTGACGTCAACGCTTGCTTAAAAATGCCGCACGTTGTGACGTCTTGCGCAACTTCAACGCACCATAACTATGTAATTATTTGTTAGATTGACAAATAAAAATATATGTGTCCAATATTTTTTGATATTAAACATTACGGACTAAAAAAATTTTTTTAGGCAACTAGCCTATTTGTCTGTATATGTGGCTGTGTATCTGTTTGTAAGATAAATTTAATCTGAAGTTTGAGTTAAAAGTTGTACAACAAAAATACAAGGCCATCTGGCCTCAATAAATAAACATATTTTTTGTTGAGGGACTGATAAGTTAAGAGTTCTTTTTTATTGAGGTACTGATAATCCTTTTTTTTGCTTCTTTAGGATTTCAGAATGCCACCAGTATCACCCTTAAAACCAATTGCGTAGAATCTTGTAACTTAGTAGGTGACGTTATCGGTAAAATTTTATCTTGTATTTAACTACCTACCTATTAATATTATGTTATTGCCATTTATCTATGAAAATAAGACAAAATATATGTTTTATAAATACTTAAGAGTCATTTACAGTAGTAAAGTTTGAAATAATTATTGCTGTGAAGTACAGAATCACTTTCGTGGCATCAAAAAATTCAAAACGTTAAAGCTTCCAAACCAGACTCACTATTTGACTGATTTACTGAGAATACACTCTTCACATCAAGCGCTACAATTTTTGTTTACAAAAAGTTGAAATAAGTTAAAAATAAAATTTGCCACGAAGGTGACGATGAGAACCGTGGCGATGAGAAATACCCATATAGGCTCCTTAAGAGCATTTGACGATTTGCAAGTACTAATTTAATTAGTCTAAACCAAGTCTAAACAAATAAAGAAAATTTTGATTTTGATTTCGAAAGATTTGAAAGGCGGTCTTATCGCTATAAATCACTTCCAGGCAACCCAAAGGAAGGCAGTGAACGATACATATTACAAAGTGGACTCGAAGCGACAACACTGGTGTCCGTGGATAAGAAGGTCCACTTTGATCTCCTAGGTGATCTTAACCATGGGTGATCAAAGGACACCAGTGTCACTTGACGTCCACTTTGAACACCTGGGTGATGAAATCCAAGTGATCAAAGTGGAATAGACCGATGGAGCAGCAAGGTTCTGGAGTGGAGTGGCAGCGTTGGACGTCTACCCACAAGGTGGACCAAAAGCCTATTGGCAAAAAAGAAATGAATTTTACCACGCCGCCGTCGGATCGGAGGGTGATCGTGTTCAGCTCTTGACGAAGAACCGTCACGTTGTTGTCCAGAGCCAGTTGGTAGGTCACGCTGGAATCTTGGCCGTGGATCCTGGGGAAATAATATCATCATCATCATTGTGGCGATATCAACATATTTGTTTGTATTGGACTGGGTGTTTTCTATGTACAATGTATGCATTTACAAAAAAAAAGTATTTAAGTATGTTTATATCCGTTGTCTAGTACCCATAGTACAAGCTTTGCTTAGTTTGGGACTAGAAGCGCAGTGTAAAATGTCCAAGGATATTTATTTATTTATTTATCTACGATACGCTACTAATACAAACTAGTGTGCCAACAGATGGCGCTGTTACGACTTCACTATGGCATAATAGGTACTCCACCGCGCGTACAATCCTGCATCGCGGTGTCGGAGTTTTCTACCCTGCCCAGCATAGGAAAACCAAGATGGTGTAAATTGGATCTTGGTCTTTTTTTTTTTTTATCCACAACGAGGAAGCTCTTGGCCTGTATCTCACCTGATGGTAAGTGATGATCAGGCCGAAGGTGGAAGCGAGCTTCACCCGGAATCCTCAACCACGGAGGTCTCCGAGCATAGCACCCGCTCGGAAGGAAACACTAACATCTTAGCTTCCTTATTGTGTGGTCGATCCTTCGAATCCCACATCATCATCATTTTCAGCCATAGGACGTCCACTGCTGAACACAGACGTGGCCATGGCCGGTTGGTTGCTGCCGCTGAATGGACAGCAAGGTTCTGGAATGGAGGCCTGGTACCGGAAAGCGCAGCGTAGGACGTCCACGCACAAGGTGTCTCTAGAGAAACTCTTACCATTCTGCCCCCATCTCCACTAAGCTACCCCTAGGCAGGGGTACCGTGTTGACCCTGCCCCCGACTCTGCCCTGGGCCTCCAGAGCTACGACTATTATGTTATCCCCAGATAGTTACGGTTTTGACCCTGCCCCAATAAACGTGACCCAATCGCTATTATATTACCTTCTCTTGTGGCTTACCATTCTGCTCCCATCTCCACTAGCTATGAGTTATGTTAGGTAGTATGGTGTGGAACTTGCCCCATTTACGTACCTATACCTACCTTAAAATATATTACGTGACCACAAAATTGTGACTTGAGGTTGAGACTATATTAATCTTTCAAGAAGAGAGCGTACCCTTAAAGGCCGGCAACGCACCTGTAACGCCCCTGGGACAGCGGGTGTCTATGGGCGACGATAATCACTTACCATCAGGTGATCCGTCTGTTTGTTTGCCTCCTGTGACATAAAAAAAACGATAGGTAGTTTCTTATTTGTAGAGAAACTTACCATTCTGCCCCCATCTCGACTAAGCTATCCCCGGGCAAAGATACCGTATTGACCCTGCCCCCGACGCGGCCCTGGGCCTCCAAAGCCAGCACTCGCTTGCCAGCGTGGGCCAGCTCCGTCGCTGCGGCTGTCCCTGATGCTCCTAATCCGACCACTATGGTGTCGAAGTGTGTACTGGAATAAGTAAAAAATACAAATTTTAGAGCCCCCTTCTACTTTATTTATTTGTCACTCGCTTCTTCAACTTCAAGTTTTACTAATAAGTCGAAAAAGTTAATTAATTTATCACTCGCTTCTTCAACTTTAAGTTTAACAGTCAAACAATTCATCCAGTTTTTTCTCACAGATTTGCGACATCAACATTCTCCAAAGTTCTAAACTTTCCAGCCTTCTAAGCTATGTAAGGTAGTAGGTAGGTATATTGTGGAACAAGGAAGCCACTTTTGTGGTTTTGACCGATTATGAGTTTTGACTGTAACATTATGTAGGTAGGTACTATAATATTATCCCAACTAATATTATAAATGCGAAAGTAACTCTGTCTGTCTGTCTGTCTGTTACGCTTTCCCGCTTAAACCTCGCAACCGATTTTGATGAAATTTGGCATAGAGATAGTTTGAGTCCCGGGAAAGAACATAGGATAGTTTTTATCCCGGTTTTTGAAACAGGGACGCGCGCGATAAAGTTTTTCTGTGACAGACAAAATTCCACGCGGGCGAAGCCGCGGGCGGAAAGCTAGTGTAACAATATATTATTGATCAAAAACATTTTTTTTAATAATCCCGTTAGCCCCTCGTAGTAAGCTAATTAAGCTTGTGTGAGTGGGTTCAAATCAAGCGGCGCCGAGGCGGCGGGATTCGAACCCGCGTTCCTCGGATCACGAGTCGGCCAGTTTGACCCCTTCTCATATTTTGCGGTTCGGCTATCGTGGCTATATTATTAAATACATCAGTTACATAAGTTAATTACTTAATTAAAATTTTATTTTAGCTAAGTAATCTTATCTTGTTTATTATTATAAAACATGCTCCTCTAACAGGGGGCAAGATGGTTCAAGTTTATTTATTAGTCTGTAGTTGCGGTTGTTATTTTATTGAAGGTCAAAATTAGGCCGTGTTTTCACTAAGGCGGAACAGAGCAGAGAAGTTTTGTTGTGAATAACCAATCAGATTTCATTATTTCCACTTCTCTTCGCTCTGTCAGCTCTGCTCTAATCCGCGCCTCTGTCAAAACCTGAAGAAAAATATAAGTCCGCCCGCCCGCCCGACACTAAGTACTTCTTCGCTCCGCTCCGTCTTGATGGAAAACGGGCCTTAGGTATAGTATACTTCTAAAACCTAAATCATATCGTACTAAGCAAGAATTTTCACTGAAAAAAATTAAGTACTTCTTCAGGAGAACTAGACGGGTGTGGGTAGGAGATATCATAATCCTGTTCCTTCATTACTTAAATATCCATTTCATTAAACCGCCTTAACCGAATTTAGGCCGATGGGGCAGCAAGGTTCTGGAATGGATGCCGCGTACCGGAAAACGCAGCGTTGGACGTCCACCTACAAGGTGGACCGATGACATCGTAAAGGTAGCAGGGTAGCGCTGGACGCAGGCCGCTACCAATCGATCAACATGGAAAGCATTGGGGGAGGCCTATGTTCAGCAGTGGACGTCCTATGGCTGAAATGATGATGATGATGATGATGAACCGAATTTAGAACGAGCGCACTTAATTAGTATGAAATACCTACTTAAGGTAGAGAAAGAGAAGAAAGCCTGTTTTCGAAAGCTGTACGCGCGACAGACCAAAATTCACGCGGGAAATATCTCATAAAAAGGAAAAACTTATGTAGTTGGGCAGTGGGAAATATTTGTCAGCAATAACCAGTTGAGCAGTGGGGAAAAAAGGAAAAATATCACAAAAATAACATTTTTATGTACCTTCCACTGATGCTCGCCGCATCAGCAATCGCGACAAGCGCCAAAACTGCGAACCACGCTTCCATTTTGAAGTCCCAGGCACAACTAAATCGCGATTTGTAACACTGACCTTAGAGAGACCCCGCGTCGTAAACGATAACTCTTGATAACTGAACATCGTTTATTCTAATCTAGCTGTAATTGTATCATTTACCTACTAAGTACCTACCTTTGTCCGCTGTTTTGTTCGCTTGAATCAGTCAGCGTATAAATCAAATCAAAAATTATTCAGTTTTAGCCAGTAGGTAAGTATTTTGGCACTCAAGAAAGTCAAAAATAATAAAAAAGGCTAGCCCATGGGTCACTACAATTTTACATGCCTCCTTATTTGGACCCTACCAGCTTTTTCCCGCGGCTTAGACAGAATATCTTTTAATCTTTACTATCCATTCGCTTTGCCTATGTTCATGATAATGTATAATTCTAATAAAAATAAATTTTCAAATAGGTTTACTGGACCATATTCGATAGGTACAAGCGGAAATTAGCCAAGTAAAAAAAACAGTGGGGTGGGGATGAAAAATGAATGATTGTCATCCCCACCCCCACAACCACCCCACTGTTTGTTTTGACTCGGCTAATTTCCGCGCAGTGTAAATCCGCCATTATAATATTAGTGTAGGTAGATAACCACACGCAGCTTTCTGCATGACCCAAAGGTTGTCTGGTGGAGAATGCTTTTAGCATTAAGTCCACCTTTTAAGTTTTTATATTTTATGTGTGCAAATAAGTTTACAATAAATTATGAACTTGCATGATAAAAACTTGACGAGATATAGCAATGAAACAAAGCATTAAACATTAATTCATTTATTACTAATTAACATAAATTAAACTTAAAAATATCACTTTTAGAAACCGTATTTTATAATAATTTACACGAAAACAATTTTTTGTCGACTGGACTCATAGCTAGCTTAAAATGTTGGTATTTAAATTGAAAACAATACAATTAATCTCAAATTATTATAAGAAAAACTTTATGATGTCCAGCCTATTATGTCAAAACTTATTTTTGTTTAATAATCAAGAAGTTGGCATGTTTGTACATTTGTAAGAACTTGTGAATATAAATAGCTTAATTAAAGAACACAGAGGTAGACAATGGGATAGAAAAGCTGTTTTTATTTATTATTTACAGTAATATTTAGTAGATAGCTAGGTACAGGTACAGTATACAGTTAGGTATACATAATTAACAATATGGAGGGTCAGAAGAATTACGTAGAATAATGAAATGAAACTAATACAACTTGACTTGTTTTAAAAACATTTTCCTCAATTAATTTCTTAGTTTTTATCTTAAATGATGAAGGCCTAACATTATACATTTATAGAAACTTAGTAAGACGGTGGTAGCTAGCCAGGTGGACTAAGAACAAGTCCTAACGCCAACCAAACTGAGCGGAAAACTTGCCCCTATTGGGAATCTAACCCAAGACTTTTGGGTCTGCAGCAGGTGGTCTCACCACTAGATCACAAACGTCCAAGATTATCAATCCCACTTAACATATTGACACGACATATCACAAAAGGCATGCACGTACAAATTACGTCTGTCACTTGTCACCGAGTCTGTGCGCGAAGACTTTAGCGATTGCCTTATCCATTTCCGAGGTATGTGCCTCTGTCATGATGTGGCGGGTTATGAACGGCGCTGGGACAATCACTCTGCAGAGGGTGCAGTAGTATATGTCTTCTGCAAGCTGTAACAAACAATTTTGTTTATAGCAATGGTTCCCAAAGTGATGGGCGCGCTCCCCAGGGGAGGCGCAAAGACCTTTAAAGGGGGGTGCGGGCTAAAGGCGCCTAGTCGCTAATCCCAACTAATATAATAAATGCGAAAGTAACTCTGTCTGTCTGTCTGTCTGTCTGTCTGTCTGTCTGTTACGCTTTCCCGCTTAAACCTCGCTTACCTCGCAACCGATTTTGATGAAATTTGGCATAGAGATAGTTTGAGTCCCGGGAATGAACATAGGATAGTTTTTATCCCGGATTTTGAAACAGGGACGCGCGCGATAAAGTTTTTCTGTGACAGACAAAATTCCACGCGGGCGAAGCCGCGGGCGGAAAGCTAGTTTATTATAATACTAGACGGAAGACGTCGTGTGGGAAGCTCCCCACTAGGTGGACCGACGATCTGGTGAAGGTCGCGAGAGGTGCCTGGGGGGGGCCTTTATCCAGCAATTCCGGGCATACTTAGGAATTCCACACATTTCCAGTAACACTTGTACACTCTTCACGCGGGCGAAGGCGGGAAAAATAGCTAGTATTTTGCTAACACATTTATTGTAAATAAAATAGTAAATAACGTACCAAAATCATGTTGTACCTAACCCAAATCGTACATCTTGATTTAATTTTGTTAAATTGTGCTGGATCAGTCAAGACAATAACGCCTATGCTTACAATGGATAAGTAACTAATTTCAAACCTACCTTCCGGACCAAATTCTCGCCGAAACCATCGTCATGAGGGTAGCCCTCCAACACTTTTCTATGTTTCTCAGAATCTTTATGCCATTCCTTTATCTTGACGTCCAGCTCTATATCTTTGCTGCAGAACACACATCTGTACACTTCCCTGCCCCTCAGTATGCCGTGATAAGCATCAGAAGAGACCACAAGCGATTTTTTATCTTTCAAAGTTAAAATCACGTTTTGCACATCATCCAACAAAATCTTCGGCTTTTCGCGGATAACTTTCTTTGGCTGGCGTAAAGCTGGTAATGCCATTGTTAGTTTAATTAGTCTCGATTAATCTGATAAGTCCGTAAATTGATCTATTACAGTATTTTTTTAATTTTTTGCAACTTTTGATTTGAGTGACACCTCTACCGACATTTAAAAGTTAACTTTTTAATTCAATTCACTTCCGTTTCCTATTTAGTGTTGTCTAGTTAATTGAAATGAGTAATTGAATTATGCCACTTCGAACTATGGAAATTAAATTGGGAATCCACAATTATGAATCACAATATTATGAATTTATTCATATTTTTTTCATTGCATTTTGGTTTGTAAATATTATGCCGGGTCTCCAGCGCGTGTTTTGCCCTACACAATCAACAAAAACAAGTAAACATTCAACTTTTTTTGTAGGCAATTTTGTTGAATGTTGAAATGTTTTTTTGTTGATTGTGCAGGGCAAAACACGCGCTGGAGACCCGGCTTTACAGAATTTTTGTTAGGACCTTTAGTTGTGAGTATTAATTTATTTTAGCAAGATTATTTTTGTTATTCTGCCGTTTCGTACCAATAATGTTTTTTATTTGCCATAAAACTTTTTATGGCTCGTAGCTATATTTTTTATGATACTATATCAAAGTGGTTTAGATAAAGTAGGTACTTTTAGCCAAACCATGAGGTTGTAAGTTACGATTTAAATCTAAAATCAAAGGTAAAATAATGAAGCGTCATAATGTTTTGGAGATAAGTAAGAACTTAAACCGTTCAAGTGTGTATAGTTTTACTAAGTTCAATAGGTACCTATTTACTCTTTAATTTTTTTCTAGGTATCATTGTTTTGTACGCTAGACTTGTAACTGGAGTGTCCATAAAAATTACAGATGGTAAGTTGAATGTTGATGAGTTTCTGAAGAAAGTGATGAAATCTGACAAATTTGATGAAATGGCTGAGAAAATAGCCGACAAAGCTGTTGAAAAGTTTCAAAAAATCAATAAAGTAACGGACACTGCCTCTGTGCCTGAAGCTATCGTAAATAAAGAAGGAATTACATACAGGGTTTTAGAGAGTGATGCTAAGGAACCGAATAATTCTGAATCAAAAATAGATGATACCGAAACGGAGACCAAGGCTTCTCCACGACCAGTTATCAAGAAAATAGACACTGAAGCAGTTATAAAAAAATCTGAAGATTCTTTCAATGATTTAAGTTTGAAATACAAACAATTCACCAAAAGCGTTTACGGAATGAAACCTAAAGAACTAGACGCAAAACGTCTGTCCAATATTGAAGGTGAATCTTTAGAAAAAGAAAATGAAATGTACGAGCAAAACTTGGCAGCAAAGGCTAAAAAGCGAGGTTCTATCGGTGAAGCAAGCTCAATGAAAATAGAACCTGTAAACGACAGAAGCACGAAGCTCAGTAGACTGATAAAGAAGTCTGTGAAAACTACACCACAAGATATGAATTATAGCGGTGATGGAACCGATACAAAAGACAGCGAATTTGAAAAAGATGACAAATCTATTGCTTCAGACCAAAAAGAAAACGATGGTCCGTACACTGAAACTGTAAAACAGAAAGCCAGTAGCAAGGAACAAACAGATCGAAGTCACGAAAGGACTCTTGAATCGGATTCTTCCAATAAAGAAGACGTTAGAAATAATGAGGACCACAGTGATGGTGAATACAAAAAAAGAAAACCGGCATATGAATATTTACATTTGCCTGACCATAGCAAAGATCTTGACAGTACAAAATCTAGCAAAAAGGATAAAAAAACAACAACTTCAAAACAATTTTTCGAAGAAAAGGTAGTTCCTAAGCCTAAAGAAATAGAAGAAAAACGTGATAGTTCAGCTAAAGTTGATTCAAGTCCAGTGCGTAAAGAAGGAAACAAATTATACACGTATCAGAAATCCGCGGAATATGAAGACTATCATGAGAAACTTGCTAGTATTCAAAATCAATTGAAAACAACACGTAATTATTAAACTAGTTTTGATTTGTCAATCGAATACTTATTATCCTATCCTTTTTGCATTATTCACACATTTTTAAAAATCATTTAACTGAATAAAGGTTTTAAGCGGTTGAGGCCATCAATAAAAGGAAAGATTTCTATCTGTATTTGATGTATACGTTCGCCGCGCTAAGTTTTATAGATGAACTACACTGAAATGTCCCACCGACGACATTGACAGAAGGGCGCCACCATCTTCGTTCAAATACATGGTTTCCACCGTGGCAAAAGTCGGAACCAGCGATCCGCTATTGACGGTGGCCCCCCTGTCAGTGTCAAAAAAAGGACATTTCAGTGTAGTTCATCTTTAACACTGTTTGACTGACTGACAAGTGCTTTCTGTCTCTCTAACTTTTTCTGCGTGAACTTAATTTGTATTAAGCGCGCTCTACACTCGCTCGCGATTCTTGCTGTGAATTGACGCCGCGATTCGCGCCTTGTACTTCGCGTTCATATGTGTCTCTCCACACTCGCGAAGCCTCGCAGTCTCGTTCGCGGCCTCAATGGATGACGACGTGATTGTTGCTGCTGCGGTGACGCTCTATGCTATATCGTATTACAATTACCTATGTATTAAAAATAAGATGTGGCGGCTGCATCTGNAAAAAACGAGTTTGGGATATTCACCCAGATACGTATCTATATTTCACTATATCTATCTCGCTTATTTACACAGGATGTTAGCATAAGTGAAAGTGACAGGTAGAGCTGATAAAACGAATTCAGTTAGTGGAATACACCCCTAGATGCAATGCAGATTCAGTAATACTCAGTAGATAATGGGATAAGTAGGTTTAGGTATTATTAGTATTACGTCAGCATCAATGGAGGTTTGGCAAGCACTGGATTAATCCAGATCTCTGAAATTAAAAATTCTAGGCATAAATGCTCTAAGCTTCCATAGTTAATATGCGTTACATACGTTCCATATACATATGTATAACTTTTGCTCTACTACCACTTCAGTATAACAGCAGTGAGAGAATTGCCAAGAAAAACTTTGTCAGCTTAAGGTAATGTTAAGTACTTACGAGTATGTTCAATCATCAAGCTATCCACTGTAGAGTCTTATGCACTGGTAATACAGATTTTTTTCTTACAAAATTACATAGACAGTGGGTTGTGCTGACGATTGTGCTACAAAGAGTTTTTTTTTTTCACCCACCGTTCCAGAGATTCAATCAAACCCCAATTTATATCAGTTAAAAGAACAAAACTTGAATTTAGAATTTCAGATGCTTCAGGCATAAACAAATCGAATGAGGATTACAGAAACAAACCATTATACAACTCACCTATGTCGTACAAACGGACTACCTAGACGTACGCTATGCTAATTCAATGTTTGCTAAATGTACTGTTCCAATTGGATTCGGCCAGGGCTGTCAGCGCATTGTAAACACAACGGTGAAATGCATAATAATAGAGTTCCGTATAATTTTACACTGTTTGCTAATAGCATCCATGAAATCAAATCCCGCTTTGGACGGTAACAGCTGGTGCCAGCTAGTTTTATGCGTGGGAATTGAATTTGTTTATGCAGCGGTATGTATTGAAGTTACAGTTATTTCCAATCTTATTTTATATTTAACGAAAGGTTAAAAAGGGATAGTAGGGTTAGTGTTAGAAATAATTTAAAATCATTAATCACTGGATAGTTTATGAGCTCATTAGCTGCTTAGCTGCTAGAAAAGGTCACTGCATTCGGATATTTTGGCGCGTATGAAAGACGTTTTACCGGATCCATTTTATTTTTCTTCCTGTGACAGAGATCACAATCTCAGTGTTAGAATCGGGCAATCATTCAAGTGTTAGATTGGGGTTCATTCTACCTTGTCAGTCTACAATGTCTTAACCCTTCATTCGACGGAATTTTTTTTTAGTTAAATTTATAAAACAGTTACTGATTTCGTTTCTTAGCTTGTCTAGGACCCCAGAAAAAATACCCAAAAAAATCTAACTATTTCAGTCTTCTGAAAAACCTATGTCCAGTATACTGCACGTTGCCAAGTTCATAAGAAAGTGACGCTCTCCAACCATGTCCAGTATACTTCCCGTTGTCGAAGAGACAGAAAAAAGAAACAAGTGGTTCCGTAATAAAATATTAATTATCATCATCATAATTTCAGCTTTATGACGTCCACTAATGAACATTGTCCTCCCCCAATGATTATCAGGTTGGCAAGTGGGCTAACAACCGGCCAATCTGATAGTCACTCTGTATCCTGCGCGTTCCTGCTACCTTTATGGGTTCATCTGTCCACCTTGTGAGTGGACCTCCCACGCAGCGGTTGTCGGCACGTTGCCTCCATACTAGAGCCTTGCTGTAGCCATCAGCCACCAGTTCTGCGTGATGTGCGCCCTGCCCATTGCCACTTCAGCATGCTAATCCATAAGGCTATATCAGTGATTTTAGTTCTTTTACGGATCTTCTCATTAGATGTCGCACAGAAACACCAAGCACAGCCCTCTCCATGTCATGCTGTGATATAGAGAGGGCTTATTGTGAGAAGTAACCTTTCAGTAGGTACCATTATGTGATTACTGGGAAAACACTTGGACCTGTTGCTGATTTCTTCTCCTACACTTGGACCGCCATCAAGGTGGCGTTTTGTGCAAGCACTTCAGCACCAATGGTCAATACGGAAGCTCTCTGGAAAGACTACAGCACTGCTCAAGCTTCAATCAAATCGAAAGCCTCCTCGTAGTCCACGTACGCCAAGCGTTATGGCAAGTAATACTCTTTGGTCTTCTGTATAACCCTGCCGCAGTGTATGGATGTGGTTTATGGTTACAAAGACTTCTCGGACACCGGCATGTAATAACCCTCGCATAAATACTTGTAGAGATGGCTCGGAAGCGTGATGGGACTATAATTCTTCAGTAAGGTGTTATCCCCTTTCTTGAATAAGGGTACCACAACGCTTCTGGTCCATGCCTCTGGCATTATTCCCTCGAGTAAGACAAAGTTAAAGATTTAGCTGTCTATATTCATGTGCTCTATGCAAGAACTGATGGAAAAGCAGGGTGAGAAGAACAATTTTCCCATAAAAACCAGTATCTATATGAAAAGGAGTAGTGTTAGGTGGCACCAATGCTACTAAGGCTTGTTTTTTAGAGTTGATACACTGAAAAACGGTACATAGTGAGGCAGAAAACATTTTATGTGTGGATCCCTAAAATATTATTATCAAAACCCACAAAAGTTAATTTTCTAACAATTTGGCAACGGGAAGAATACTGGACATAGTATTTAGCAGTTACTTTACTAGTAATTCGACGACGGGAAGTATACTGGACATGCAAGTTATAGGTGTCGTGAAACGAAAACCAAACTCTGTATGACAGTAAATACATTGTAAGTAGCTTCGCAGGTATCCTATCTATAGTTTTTAATAATATTACAAGAGTATTAAGCCGTAAAATAATGAATAAAATGCAATTTACCGAGAGCCCGCACAGCGGGCCCTTCCTCCCCGTCATATTATTGGAGATTGCTCGCGTCTCATCGATATTGGTGCCTTGCTGATTTTTGACAGCATAGTTAGATAGTTCAGGGAGCAAATAAACACCTTGAGTTCAAGATATACGGTCAATTTTTTTACGGAGATTTATTTTCGTTCAATGGGAAGTATATCGCACGTCGTCGAATTAAGGGTTAATCTGAATAAGCAAAATGTTTTTGCACAAAGTATACCTAATGTGTGGGGGATCCTAACCCCTCAGAACTTCCTTAGCACTCCTCAGACTTCATTAACGCCTGACAAGACCCTGGCCTAACAAAAAAGAAAATCACTCTCAAGTGATCATTCACAGACAAAATTACTGGTGACTGGCAGCCCTGGTAGAGGTCATCATGCGTGCTGCCCTCGGTCCTTGCCTTGTCCATTGTCGCATGCGCTAAGTGGGCTAGGCTTGTTGGGGAATTTTGTAGACAAACCTAGACGCCTCGGAAGTAACCTTAAAAGCTTTACAGCTGTCAATTGTACTGGCAAGTGACGTCATAATAACAAATTCCCGTCAGATAAGTTCCATAAAAATCACTGGCTTTTGGCAGCCCTGGTAGAGGCCATCGTGCGTGCTGCCCTCTTATCCACTGTCACATGCGCTAAGTAGGCTAGGCTTGTTGGGGAAACCTGGACGCCTCGGAAGCACCTAACCATAAGAGCTTTGCAGCTGTCAATTGAATTGGCTAAAAGTGACATCATAATCTAGATTTGCCATCAGATCAATCTGCTTTTGGCAGCCCTGGTGAGGTCATCATGCGTGCTGCCCCCGGCCCTTGCCTTGTCCACTGTCGCATGCGCTAGTCCGTACACAGCGCGTCCGATTGCTGTGCACACTCGTTATGGGATGTCCTGTAAGCTCCATTGGCTGTAGGTAGGCCGGACTTGTCCAGGAAATTAGTGGACATAACTCGTCGTAGCAAGAACATCACAAGAGCTGTAAATTGATTTGGAAAAAAGCAACGAATTGCCTTTGACATCTATGTGAGAGTCGTGTTGTAGGAACTCATTAAAAGTATGTCAATAACTAGTGAAAGACCAGTCATTTGATTGATGAATTTATGAGTGGTCGAACGCGAAAATTGAAAACTAATTTCAAGCCCGTTTTAGGTCGAAATGGAGTGTTTCGTTAAGAAGTTGTGATTTGGAATTATTGGTCAGTGGTATCAACCACCCATTTACCAGAACATAAAGAAAATGTCTTAAAAGTAGAATTAAAATTATGTTTTCACGTCAACTTGGACGAGTCTCTTATTATTTTTGTTACAAGTTGTCTTGTGATGTTGTTACTTGTTAGTGCGGTTTATTTCTCGTCGTTATGCTGAACATTCGAAACAAACATGTTTCATGCCTGAAGCCTTATATCATACAGGGTGAGCAATTCTGTGAAGTAGTTGTGGAACTATATTCGCTAGTTTACAAAAAGTTCTCCGTTGTTACTCCGTTGTAAGTAGACTCAGGAAAGAATCAAGTTATGCCCTGGATAATGTGAATGTTTTTTAGCCCCTAGGCATGTTTTTAAAATAAATTATTTTTTTTCAATGGTAGTTATTGTTTAGAAAGAAAAATATGCATAAAATTACTGCTGTCCTCAATTTCTAAGGCACAATAAACAGAGAAAAGCTATAACGTTAACCATAGTCATCGTCACACATTTTCATGTTATATTTTTGAGTATAGACTACATACACCGTGTTACTTTGCATTCTTGCCATATTCACAGAGATAAAAGTAGGTAACAATACCTATTATTTAAGATAAACAAGAGACTCCCATAAAGAAAGTACACTAAAATTTTAGTAAATTTGGTTTTTCAGTACAAATTGGAATAAACCAATTTTGTCTCGCACGTTCTACAGGTGCAAGTGGAATAAACCTAGTGGGCGTGGCCTAGTTCTTAATTTTATGGCTTTGGGTACCAGCCTCTTTATCCAGTCATAATAACTATTTTAAAATACTCTTCAGTTGATTTCAGATTTTCCTTTCTACTTTACGGGCTTAGGACCGTCAAAAATACGTAATTATTAATAGGGTTTCAATTAATTTACAACATTGTACCCTATTTTTACAAAT